TTTGTTTTAGTTGGAAGTGGCTTTAGTAACAAAGCTGCTGAAAACCATTTCCTAGTCTATCATTTTAACCAAATTGTAATTTCTTCTTAATGTGAACTCATTCATGCTATTTACCTCTAGGGAAAGACTCCACTATTATTTTTTAAAGTGACATATTATTGCAAATCCTAACCATTATAGGAAGTCCTGAAGGAAAGCATGAGAGATCAGCATAATGCCGCCGTATGACATAGTTACTACAACCAGCACTCTAAAGGATTCTGCCTCTTATGTCTTAATCTTGATACTACTGATATATGGCTGTAAATTTGGCAATGTTACAATTAACTCCTGAGTGGATTTGAGCCCATGTCTAGCTAGCCTTAGAGTACATGTATGAAGGAAAGACTGCCATCTCACTAAACATGGATCCAGATGACTTAAAATCTCAAACTGCAAACACATAAGGACATATAAACATGGTATGTTCAAATTTTTAGGCCTCCACATCACCTGGAAGAGGTCATAAAGCAGAAAACCACAGACACCTTAGAAAAATTGACAAAAACTCAAACAAACAAGGAGAAAATCAGTCTTGTCAAACAGGTGCACAATGGGGAGTCCACAACATGTACACATGTGTATACACATGTATGTGCAAATACACATACAGTCTCGCTCAATGGACAATTATAAACTTAGGCAGCATGTTACTCTTTATCAGTTTATAGATGTAGATTATCCATGTAGCATTTTTATTCTTAGAATGCTAACAACTTGGAAAAGAACTAAGCCCATGGAATGTATTTTCTCTGCTGTTTCAAGCCTAAGATGCTATACTTCACAGAACATTTTCTTTTGATCACCTATCTTCTTAGTTTCTGTGTGACTATCATATTTTTTATGTTTTTCTTTCCAATCAAAATCACCACCAGCATAAAAACATATTCATGCATACACAAAAGAAAGATGTATCAAGTTTGTTGTTTCTCTGCCACATCCTCACTGCTTAAAAAGGACCAAGTTTTCAACTCACACTCCTGATGGTCCTACAAAATCTCTTCAAACTTTCGTCATTGTTCAATATTTTATGAGCATTCCCAAGAACACTGTTCCGTAGTTACAGAAATTCCAAACTGATGACACAGTACATTTAGGACTCTTTCTGTGAGCTCAGTTTCACATAGAATCATTCAAATCTCCTTCTTTTCTTTCTTGTTATCAAAACTCTGTTTTGAACACGTATTACTATATTTAATGAAAACACATGAGAAAAGTGTTTAGTATCCAAATGAGGGCAAGTATTTTATGTCAACATAGCTGGGCACTTTGAATAGTTTTAAATAAAGCATTGGTCCACATTCGATGGCCCTTAAAATCCTTATGTTACCACATGAGTGATGCAGATGATGAATTCACAGCTGGAATTGCAGTTTAACATACATAGATAACAATGTTCCTCAGAAGCATTTGTGTCAGAGCTCTTCTCTCTGTTCAGAAAATGGTTGCACACAAAAGTTCTATTTAAGTGAGTTCGAAGCTCTGATATAACTTGTATTATGTGTAGATCAAGGAAGAAACCCAACATACTTAAGCAGGTAGTTCTCAGTCAGGGAGGGCTCGTCTCTGAAGGGCCTGTGCCTGTATCTGAATCTGAGGAGCTAAGGGAGAGTGAGACTGTCACCCAGCAGGCAGAAGCCAAAGCTGCTGAATCTCCCCATGAAAAGAATTATCTGGACTAAAATATCAGCAGAGGTCAGGATGAGTGACCCTGACCTAGAGAAAAATAACATGCTCTCTACTCAACATAAATTGGCCACATTTACTATAATTTCTGTGTCCATGTAGAAAATAAGAGCCTCCACCTCAGTGGTATGGCCCTGTGAGATGAGTGAAATTCCCCTTTTCTCTACTCAAAGCTCCACTTTAATTTCTAAGGCCTCCAAAGAGTTTCCACCCCAGTGCAGAAAATACAGCTAATTGGTTTGCATCAGCAGGGGGTCTGTACTGAAGGTTTCTTTTTGTGCTGAAATTCTGAGTTATATGTCTCATGCCCCACATGAATGTCTATCTTAGTTAATCACCTTCTTGGGAAAAAGCAAGCTGCTATGTAAGATTGCATGTGCTCACTTTGATGGTGGTGTAAACAGTGTTCTTGATAAGGCCATATGTTATCTGTAATTTTTCTCAATTCAGAATTATATGCTAAAGTGTTTCTAAATGAGATGAATTATGATTAACAGACACCTTTCAGTGTGCCTTCAAAAATCCCTAGTAGGTCTGGAATACATTCAAGTGTGCATAATGTGACCCCTCCCATAAGTGTTCCTACATTTCCCTGACTGAAGATGTCTTTCAAAATATAGTATAATATTACTATGTAAAGTTAACACTGAAGAAATATGACTGATAAATTCTGGTTTAATTATTTTAAAAATATGACATTAGAATTCCTGTTTTACTTAGTTGCAACCCCAGTTTGTGAGATATTTGTCCTGCATACAAAGCAAATGGCATTTGCTACTAGAGACTGCAAACCACTTAAAGGTTACTATTTTGTCAAAATGTTCATGTGGCACTGAAGAGACAGCCATCTTTAAAATATTGCAATCCAAACATTGTAGAAGAATGGTGCTCTTATTTCCTAAAATCACTTTAGGCTTGCCTTCTTAACTTTGTCTCAAAAATCAACAACAAAAAAAGTTTCACAACTTTAATGTACATAAATATTTATTGGTCTACTTAATATCTTGTTTTCAAACATCATTCCAATCATATCTTCCAGAATAAACTGTATTTGGCAAAGAATCCTGCCAATTCTTCTAACGAGAAGATGTACTGCTTTGTCTGCCATGCTTCTCTTTGTTCCTTCAGCTAACATTTCTATGGGAATATTCATAACTGAGAAAGTGGGCTGCCATCTCACCCAGTTGTTTAAGAAGTGAAAACAAGGAATGAATTTCCAAAGGCCTAATGTGACTTATGCATTAACTTACCTTCCTTTCTTCTGGGCCTCCTCCTGAGTACTCAAAACTATAGGAATGTGAGTAAAAAAAACATCAGAATACAAAAAGGCCAAATGGATGGTTACACATGTGTCCAAAAGAAAATATTTGATTATGAGCAGAATTTTGTTCAGCTTCATATGTACACAGATGTCAAAAGATAAACAACTGAAGTCAGTTTGCTGTGTGAAAAATATCCTCAGGCAATTTCAAACCCATTCTTGTCTGTGTTGGATGGTAATTCCAGTTTGTTCTATGTGTGCGTTTGGATAACTATATTTCTACTTAAACATTTCTACAACATCCACTCCGAGTGTGTGTGATTTCTTGGTGTACATATATGCAGTCCTGTAATAAAACCAATGGCACTTTCAGCTAGACTTAGGTCTTAGAATATACCTTCAGGACTTTCCAATTCTCACTGATAGGAGTCACATTGGACAATTCCTATGTTTCCTATCATCTCTACAATTCAATAAAAAATGAAGCTAAAACTAAACAAAGGACTGAAAATCTCAAGTGCATGGTGAATACACACACTAGACAAGTCTCTGGCTTTTAACCCTTTTAAAATCTGTGTATTCCTGAGGAGGGTCTGGCACCAAAAATCTACAACAGAGCATGCATGTGCCTCCCGTCCACTGAGGATGCTTTTAGATGCAGTGTCTCTTTTGAAAACATGCTCTTTGATCCCCCCTTTTTTTTCTCTAGGAGCTCTCAGCATGGACAGAAGTCAAGGGACCTGGTAGCTGCTGCTTTTGTTTTGTTTTGCTGTTCTTTAAAGTAAGGAAATAGGAGGAAGGAAAATCAAATATGGAACTGTCAAAGATTGGGATACAAAGACTGGGAAGTGGGCCACAGTATGGTATGGGTGGTGGTCACTAACTGTGGAAGGCATTCAGTGAGGACTTCCCACCATGCCACATAGCACATCCTGAAAAGTGGGGTCCCGAATACCACCAACTGGGCAGTCTGCTCTTCCAGGGTTTAGGCTCCTGACTACAGGAGCTGAATTTTTGCCATCACAGAGATAGAAATTATAACCTTTTACCCTTCACTTTATCCCTCTTATATATAACTGTCTAGTTCCAGTCTGTCTGGCTACTTAATGAAGTTGTTGTTGTTGTTTTGTTTTTGTTTTTTGGTGCAGGCAGGGGAGGGAGGCTTTACTAAAAACAAGTAAAACACAAACTATTGTATCTTTGTGGGGTACATTATATACACAGAGTACTGTAGATGGTCCTGAAATTTTGGATGTGAAGGGGAAAAAAGAAAAACACCCTGCTGGGAACATAAAACAGCACAGAGAACACACAATAATGACCCTCATAATTGAGATTGTCATGTGTCTTATTAAAAGCCATAATTTACCTAGATGTCTTTCTTGATAAAGATGGTAAGGTGCTTTGCAGATTTTGTGCAAGCATGTTTTTAAAAGCCTTGCTGATCTATTTTCTTGTGTGTGTTTAGTCTTTGGGTCCTTCAAAGGGCTTCGAGGGTTACTTTTATATTTAATAAAGCATGAAGATGAAAGCTGTCATTTGATTGCAGCTTTGCATTCAGTGGTACCAAGATGCTTATTAGAACGACCCTGATGAGACAGTGGGAGCGGTTCCTGTATGCCGCTCCTCCCCTGTGTACTGAGGTGCTCTGGCTGCTGGCTAGCCTAAGTGATGCAGCCTACATTTAATGCAAGTACAGTAAACAACATAAATTATAAAAGACATTTGCCAATGAGAGCAAGAAAGGGTAGAAGAAATGGGGGGGGGGGAGAAAAGAAGGGAGGGAGAGACAGAGAGAGAGAGACAGAGAGAGAGATGAGAGAGAGAGACGAGAGAGAGATCACGGAGACATTGGGTCAAAACAGAAAAGAAACTCTCAATATGAAGAGAACAAAGTGTTTTGAGTGAGCTCAAAGAAATGACGTACCTTAATCACATCCTAATTGTAGGGTACAGTGAACCAACCTCTATGTTACTCAGAGACATGCACATTGCCCGGTTCCTACTGGATTGCCTTTGAACACGTAGATGGAGCTGCTTTCAGTCTCCTTCATGGATTAGTTCTTGTGTCCAGAGCCTATGCAAAACAAGAAAAGACTCTCTCACATCAAGCAAATTATCCTAAGCTCTTTGTTATCATTTTTATAGAGATGACTTTCCATCCATCAATCCACAAGGATTACCCACTTTCACCATCTTATGGCTAGTTTTAGTACCAAAGACCACTGAAGTTCTCCACTTCCATAAATACACCTTTTCTAGTAATAAAAGACCCTGGTAAAAGTAAGTTTAAAATGTTGGCTATCTTGAGCCTATGCATTAATTATAAGGATTAGCCTTCTCTGGAATGCATTTCCCACACACAAAAGCATCTAAAATATTTTTAAATGCTCCAATTATCAATGAAATCTACCTTTCTTCTAAAATATCTTAAGTATGTTAGTTTTGTTTTCATCATCTCATTTCTCTAAGAGAGGAGCTTACCTAGTGACATCATGCTATTTTTATATCATTCTTTTAGCCTGTGATCATTGTTGAAGTTGTAAGTTCTCAGAAAAGAGATTCTGTGGTTCAGTAATGTGATTTATTCTTTTAACTGGGCTAGAGGCAGTCAAGTGAATGTAAAAGTGTTTCCTTTCACTATTGAATTAGAGAATCCTAGCAAATTAGAAACAAAGGAAGAATAATCCCCCCAAACCAAAAAACAAACAAACATAAAACCTGTTTCTTATTTGTTTGTTGACTTTCTTAAGTTTGCCATTATGCATTTTAAATTTAAATATATTTCTCTTACTTTTATTTCCAAAGCTTGTGGCGGTCTTTCTTTTATTATTATTATTATTATTATTATTATTATTATTATTATTATTAATCTCACAGCTTGTCTCCTTCCCAGGACAGGCTGTTTTCATTGTCTCCTGGAGCTGAACTCCGGGGCCTATTAGGATGCAGCTCAAGAAGAGAGGATGAACCTGTTGGCTGACAGTGTGAAGAAGGGTACCAACCACTCCGCACGTCCTCCTGATACAGGCTATCTGGGGTGGGAGGAGACTGAAAAAGTCTGTTTTCTGGTGGGAAGTTTCCTATTCTACCTCTGCCTGTGTCACTCGGTTAGCAGAGTAATGGTCAAGGGAGAACAGGGAGAATCAACATGGATGAGTAAACATGTGGTGTACACATTAAGAAAATCTGAAGCAGAGTATTGCACTTAGGGTTACAGAGATGATGAAATATTATGAAAAGTGCACACACCCATCAGCACAGCCGTGTTCCTGATTCAGAGCTCTGGACTGGTTTATGTCAATGAATGCACGAGGCAGACAAAGCTGCTTAGCATGCTGTACGTTCAAGTTTTTAAAACAGTAAATATCTCACATCCTTTCCCCTCACCACAGGAATCTGTATTTAGAACAGAACGTTTTCCCCAAAGATTGTTCTCCAAAAGTTTTCTGCAACCTGCAATACCTTTGATGTAACAGGGGGAAGGTTGCAGCATGGCTGAATGGAGAATAAAATTATGCTTCCAGATAAACTGGTGTTTGCTTCTCAAAAGCATATTGATACATAGCCACAGTATTTTAATACCATACATGAAGTGTCAGTTTTGTTAGCTAATATTAGAAATATCTTTTAAAATGCTAGCACACACACACACACACACACACACACACACACACCATTGGACATGATAGCTACAGTGTCCTGAACTGTATATTTTTGTGAATAGTTTATATAATGTATTTTAGCAGCTGAGAGGTTTACCTAATAGTTTCATTATCCTCCACAATACTTCATTTTGGATTCTGAAATATTTGATAATCTCTCTTTTTCGTGCTCTCTCCCTCTTACTCTGATGTTTCTACAGGCTAAAGAAATTTAAGAATTGCAGGACCTTGAAAAAAGTACAGGAAAATACAAAATGTGTTCATTTGTTTATTTGTTTTTTAATTTGCTGTACAGCTTTTTTAAAAATTAAAACATCCTCAATGTGTTTTCTTGCTCTATTACCCCTGACAGCTGCTCTTCATTATACATTAGCCTGTTAAGGGTTCACTTCCTTCCTTAAGTGTGTTAAAGCTAAGTTTTCTGCAAACACTGAACTCATCTTCTGAGTTATGTGGATGGGCATCCAGGCAGACTAGAAGACAAGCATAATCTTACTCAGGAGATAGCCTTTCTTTGTCTCTCCATCCTGGCCTTTGCACCTACACGTTGCCTGGCATGACGGGAGGCCAAGCAGATGGCCTTCGCTGTGGAAGCAAGGGCTCTGGGCCCACGAGACAAAACCTGCAGGCTTGGCAAGGCTGACACGCCAAGGTTTCATCTCTAATAACCTACTCGCTGCCTCTCCAGTAATGACATCCTGGGGCTGCTAGGAGGAGATTCTTTCCACAGGAAATATACTCATAAGAATTTAATACTATCTTGCTAAACCCTTTGATTCAATAAGGTTTTAATTAACAAAAGAATATCCCTCTTACTTTGTTGACTCAGCCTCGATTTCTCCTTACTCAACAGTCGTCTATGATCAATATCTCTTTACTGAGCTCTAAAGTCTTTTACCTTCTTAACCACGTGCTTAAACAAATAAAACATCTTACCATTAGATGTCGTTTATACTGAAATACTTTTAGGTTAAATAACGTTTGTTAGAGTTTGATGCAATCAAGTGAAATTTCAATCTTCAGAGAGATTCAGGCCCGCCTCTTGGAGACCGCACATATGTGTCAGCTTTCAATTTTTCTCACCAGTGTTTTACACATGAAATCTATTTTCCTTGAGAAAATGGAATCTTTGTGTCTTTGTCTGGAAGGCGCGCTGTGCTCAGGCGTGTTCTGGCAGGAGCTGTGACTGCCAAGGCCCTGGGGGAGGGGCCTGGCAGTCATTTGTCAGCTGTCCTGCATCTGTAATTTCTGGCCACTCAGCACTATCAGAGGGTCTTAGAAAGGGGCGCGAAGGGTGGGGGAAAGAGCTTGTCATTGATGAAAGCCAAACCCCGAATAACTGCTTGATGTTGATGACCGGAGGGAAAGGGAGAACATGAAAATTTTTTATTGTGCTTTTAGAAATGGCTTATTTATGAAATTGTACATGGTAACATTTTCAGACCCTAGCCTAGAAAGGCTCTGTCCATATTGTGTTACCAATTTCACTGCTTTTGCCATGGCAAGGACCTAAGAAAGAAAGTATTTTAATTTTCCTCTGGTGGCTTCTGGGTATTTCTGCTCTCACTCCCTTGTACCAAAACTGACAGCACAATTAAACATCTGCATTTTAAAATTGGATTTTCTCCCCTGACTATTTTGCTTTGCTTCTAAAATTTCCAGATGTTTTGGGTTCTTTATGATTTTAATGTATGCAAATATATTTGCTGATATTTTAGAGAGGAGGGAGCAGAGTGACAGGGACAGGGGGGCACCCACACATCAAGGGGCAGACGAGCATTTACAAAAACAAGATAGATGGACTGACCAGATGTTTCTATAAGAGAAGCTTTGTAACACACCAGGCAGTGTTTTTCCTCTTTGTAGGTTTACATTAGAATACATTTTGTCTCATAGCATTTTACTATTTGAGTTGAATTTTGCTACTCAGTTGAGCCAGTAGAGTTCAGAACTCACACTTTTCATCTGCAGACGACCCAAGTATGTAAATTTGTCACTTCAGTGTCTCACAACTGGGTTGAAGCTGTTTCTGCCTTTTCAGCCTTTTCAGGAAGAGATCAGAAGTTGTAGGGTAAGAGAAGAAACACATGCATTTCAGCTGAACTTGCTGCTTTGTAGACATGCTAAAGGGCTGGTATCTTGTCTGAAGTGTCTGAACAAGAATTATATGAGTGTCCCTAACATTTTAAGAAAATCTGTTTCCCATAATTAACAGGAAGCTGGTAAACAGAGTCTTGCCTACAAGTGAGTCGCAAACAGTAACAGAAGAAACCGGGAAAGCAGCAACTGCAGTGTAGGTCCCCAAGTGGTTCAGCACAGAAATACTTTGAGATGTGCACCCACGTAACCCCTTGGGAGTAAATAAGTACTCATTTTCCATTCCTGACTGTTTAAACACATGCTTGGCATGTGCAGTCATTTCTCCCGCAGTATAGTATCTGGAAGTGATCTCAGGACCCTGACATGGTTAACAGTTAGGCACAAAAATGGCAAGGAATTATGGAGGAAGACAATATATTTGAAAGGTATTGTTTGGAGATTTTTAAGGTCCATACTTGTGTACCTTTTTGGAAATGGTAATACCTAGTAGGGGAATTTGTGTACATGTAAAGTGTTTGGGGAAGTGGATGAGTAGATTTATGAGTCTTGAACTAAATGCATCATTAATTAGACAGATAACAGGGCAGGGAGATTGACCCACTTCTGCTCAGAGCTCTGGGCTAAGCCCTCTGGGAATTGACAGGTCTTTATCTTCTAATTGTATCAAAAAATGGGGACTGTCTGATCCCGGTCATGACCTTGAAAGCAGCAAACTGAAGTGATGTGTAGTGTCATTGTTCTAAGGAAAGGTTGAAGTCAAACAAAAAGTTCGAAGTTTCAAAAACAGAATTAGATACTTAACTTATATTTCATTTTTATAGTGAAGTGTTTCATCTCTTAAATTAAAAAAAAAACAACTAAAACAAGTGAACCCTGTAAGGGAAAGGTAATTGCTCTAAAAATATTAAATATGAGGCTCAGGTCAGTCAAAGGTGGATTTCTGATTTTATAAAATGAACAGGAGAATAAGGAGTGCTATCAAATGTAAGCGACAGTTTCACTTATTAAGTCGTGTATTGTACTATTGTATGTGAAAATGCATTTGGGCCATATCACAGCAAAAACACACCTCCATGGTGCCATGGAGCTGCAGCCATGTGCTCTGCTGGCTGCTCCCAGGAAACCTGGTCTTAGCTCCAGAGAGATGAAACTCCACATTGTTCTGAGAGGTAGAACATGCGTAATACACGCATGTGGCTGACACTGGGGCTAAAAACCTCGTTATCTTATCGAAACCTTCAGTAATTACATCTTTGAGGCAGGAAAATGGTAGGAAAAGTTAGCTAGGCCTAATTATTTTCGTGTGTGTGTG